TCTCACCTACAAGATATCACCAACCCGTGAATACTTTCTCGGGAAGACGATATCATACTTACAATAAATTTTTATAATATCGCGAAAACTACCCCAAAGATGTCCTCCTATCTTATAAATAACGGATGCTCATCAACTCATGTATATCCTTGGAGCTCAGTAACGTGTGCTTACTTATTTAAAAAAACAAAATTGCTATTAACGAGAAATTTTCTGATATTGATAACATTGTTTGTTTTGCTTTCGATTAGAATGCACTTTCCGATATAGATTTTTAAGTGACCGCCGTTAATTATTCTTTTTTTAGAGATCAAGTTACGATTTGCCTGATGATTTTTACTGTGCCTCGAAAAGGTAATGTTTGTAAACTTTATAACTGTTTTGTTGAAGGATTTTTATCAGTTAATTTTTACACCATGGCTGTGCCAGGTCACGCTCCCCTACGCTGCTGCTGGTGTGCTCGGCTGCCTACGCGCGCCATGTGCCTACACCCCCACCCACCCCGCCTTAATCCTACGCCTTAACCTGAATCACAATCGTTCATTTAAATTAATACAATCATAACTTTGCCTTATTTGCCTTCTTCCAAACGTCGAATTTTGCTGGTCCCGATCTCAACAGCAGGTCCTTTCCAATTCTTATGAGCTTCAAAAAATTCCGTCGCCATCTTTAAACTCTAACTTTTATACAATTATAATCAAAATAATTCAGCTCTCAATTTTTTTTTCCTGTTGTCCTCTTGAACTAATAGAAGCATTTATAATACGCAAATTACCCTGAAGCTAATGGTGTAAAGTTCATTATTTTGAGCAATTTATACACATTTGAGATCCGTGGATACACTGTTCATAAAATTGATTTTGGTCCATTGGAATGCCGCCCTATAATACTCTAAATAGTGTGCTTGCATTAAATAATTTCATGTTTATGATAAAGTCCGTTGGCTCCGTTGTTAACTCCTCGAATTCATGGCGTTCAGGTTTTTCAATTCATCTTTAAATAATTAAATAAAAGCTCGAAATTATTTGTTCTGGTACAAGTGGTAAGTTTTAAACCAGTAATTTTAATACAATTATAACAAAAAGGCAAACCAAATTCCAAGGAACCCTCCATTCTCAACGAAAATCTAAACATGTTTACTTCAACGTTTGAGTAAAACCCTAAACTTAAGCCCCTGCCTTGCTGGAATGTCTTTGAAAGTTTAGCAAAGACGGTGCACCTGGCCGCATACCGCGCGCGCGGCCTTTCAACTTATCGACCAATAAGAATCATCGGAGTCTACAAACACGCCCACACTGCGCCGGCCACGAGCGGCTCACATGCACTCGCTCTCGATGTCGCTTTTGAAACTGCGTGAAATATTTGGCAATGCACCAAAAGGCATGTACATGTTTATAAATTATTTCTGACAAACAAATTGGCAGGTATTCACATGCAAATTGCCCTTAATCAAAAGGGTTTTCGCCTACAGGAATGGCATTTCAACGTACAATAGTCAGCAATGCAAAAGAGAAACTCAATGTATATAGAGACTCAAAATGGACATCCTTTGTTTGTAACACAAACACATGCATCGTGCTCATTCTAATTTCTAGATAATATGAAAAAAATGTTGCAACCTGACGCCACTTCAGCGGTTGTGTACAAAGTCTATGGAGAGTCTATGAAGTATTTCCTAACAAAATAAGAAATGCTTCTCAGTCCCAGATTCATGTCTTACCATCATTTTTGCAATGACTGACCTTCACTGAGATAATATATGAAGAAAAAAGTGGCGTCAGGATGCAATATTTTTTTCCAGATATATTGAAAATGAGATACCTAAACAGAAGAATTGCAGAATTTTGTATCGCACAATATCAACAATGCAAAATACAACTTCATGCACAAAATACAACACATGATGCTTAATGTAAATAACAGTAAGAAATGTTTTCATTCAATGCGATTGAAGGACCATTATGTCAAAGAGAGGAATTTTTCTGGCTCCACTTTACTTCGAAGTGAGGTTTAAAACGCAGGCAGAAATATCAGGTGCCATAATTATTGCTCAAAATGCAGAATACTGAGACGATTTTCCCTCTTTTGGTTCTGTGTGACCGGAGGAGAAGATAAATTTTCACTCACCTCGATAGTTCCTTATATTAAAGTTGGACTTACCCCGACGAACTCCAAAAGCTTGACATCAGTATTTTCCAAAAAACGTCATTCAGATCATTCGACAAAATTATGAGTTCACAATTCCATGTGTTCATTCAGTTCAGTTCAGCACAAAAATTAATGAGCATTCAAAGGAATGCATTTGCGAAGTCCAGTTCAGTTCTGTAAAACAAGAGTTATGACAAGTTCTGTAGGCCTACAGCATGCAAAGTTCAAGTCAGTTTTTCAATATGGGTGACGAAGACGTAACATGTGACTGCGTCGAAATGTTGCAGTGACCCCGTACACGAGGCCGGTTTTCTGGTCGAATTGCAAGACTCCAAGCGTCCAAATTTAATGTTTTCCCCGCCCATGACGACTCCAGGGTATGATGTACAAATTTCCGCGTTGGAGGCTTGAAGCTGGACGGCAGACTCGGAGGTTAAAGTCTCAGGTTTTGCTTGTGAAATTTGAGGCAATTTTTTTGGTGACTGACCAAAAACAGCGGGAAGACAGTGCGAGCTGCCAGCGGCCGCGCCCAGGGCGTTTTCGAATCCCTGTTCTTGACAACACGCGTGTAACACGAGAACGTGTTCTCGAGCTGGTTGTTACGAACGCGCGGGTGCGTGTCGCATCGATATAAAGCAATGCAAAATGGCCGACAATCGTCTGAATTTGTACTTAGGCCTATTCCAAATGAACGAGGACGACTGTTGCAAAACCGGACATGCGGGGATGAAATTGCAGACCTGCACTATAATGGTATTCTTATTCCAATCATTAGGGTATTAGCCAAAAAAAAAAAACACAAAACAAATTACGAATCTGCACAGTCCGCCATTTTGTTCAAGCTGCACCTCGCCGAACCCTCCATCAACCGGGGAGTGAAAAAATCGATCCGCGAACGCCCTCTCGGGTCTGTTCGTCACGTTCGAGACCGCTGTTCTCGTGTCGGGTTAACCCGAGTGTTGTCAAGAACAGGGATTCGAAAACGCCCCCAGTGTCCGTTGACCCCGTTCTCGGTAATATTCCATTGCGTAATGATATGGAGGTGAAAAGTGTCATTTCTTATATCGCTGGCTGTTGCTGCGGGGTCTTTGCGTTGGTTTGGGTCGAGGCACTCAGTATGTATTTCTCCGCATACTAATTTTCTCTTCTTAGACCTTTTTAAGCATAATGCCAAAAATTTCTTCGTGAATGGAAATTGTCAATTAAGAAAAAAGAAACAAATATGAAGGAATAGTCTTTCATTTCCAGATGGAGTAGTATCAATTTTGGGGGAATCAAAAAATGCCCTATTTTTTTTAAACGGGAGGCTGAGGACATACATTCCAGGAAGCATCCGTGACGTAGCACGCGTGGCTCGCGTGACCTGTCTCTCATTGGTCAGAAGTATGTAGGTGACGTCTTCCCGTCAATCTAGCCAATTTGATTGGACGAAGGAGTCTGATAAAAAAAAAAAAATTAGCAGACGACAAATTTACAGGGCGACTTGTTAGCTGACTCTCGGCTAGATTTGACAGCCTGGTTGAAAAACAAAACCGAATAATCAAGCAGAAAATCAAGCATGAGGAAAGTTTTAGCAGATTTCTACCAGAATTCTGTGAAATCGGTGATCCTAGTTTAAAAAAAAATAGCAGATTTTATTTTGAACGTGCTTCAATCACTTGAAACAAACCCTTGAATAGCGGGGGATAGACAGGCATGAGTCCTATAGCGTTGATTCCCTGACGTGTACGACTACACAGGCAAATTATGAGGAGCCCTTTTACATCATGACCCATCAGCAATTACTTCCTGTTTCACTTTTTTTTCTAAAGCGGAGTGTTTGATCTTTCCCTGTATATGATCTTTGCTAAATGCTTTTATTTTAAATTTGCATAAGCCTCGCCTTGCCCCCCCCCCCAAAAAAAAATGACTCGATGACTATACTGTAGGTTTTCCCGGCCAATTTCCCGAAATGTTCATTCACTTCTGAAAATCGATCATTCGTTTTCGTCTGAGTTGAATACAGATCAAACTGGGAACTTGCATAGGGTCCCATGATCCTCTTAAAAAACTTACTAAAGGCCCCCCCCCCAAAAAAATAGTCGGTCTCTGGCCAGCGTGCGCGTCGATTTCAATCATGCGCGTCAATCTTTTTTTTCTCAAAATGTTCCGCGGTAGCTCCAACAGCGCCCTCTATTGCCGCACCTCCTCAATTTTCTTTTTACCAAAGAGCACCAAGGAATTGGAAATTGCACCAAGGCAAATGATCGAGGGCACCAAGGAAAAATATGGAGGACACCAATGTACATGAGGACACCCAACAAATCAAAATAGTACCCCATCTTGTCTGTACAATCCAAGCTTGAAAAAAAAAAGCCCCCCCCCAAAAAAAAAAGCCGCGTCGCCGCATCAATTCCGGAACTTTGGTCTGACCAGAGACCGAGCATTTTTTTTTGGGGGGGGGGGGGGCCTATAATATGCCCAACCCGACCCAAAACTTTGATAACTACTGCCGGCCGTTTTGTTTTAGTGCAGTGCATAACAACTTTCTGAAGAATGCAAAGCCTCCCAACATTGCCCAAAACGCACGAAATTCAAATCTCAAAATTCGTTTAACTTACAAAGTGACCCGGTTCGCCAACTGCTGCAAAATGTTAATGAAAACTCTTATGACACTTAAAAGCATCTTTGTTTCAAACTCAGCTGGTAAAATCGAACTCCTTATTTTTGCAGAACGAAAATGGTGTATGAAAAAAGGTTGACATTTCTAACTTAATCTCTCTGCATCCACGGTTAAGGTTGCGCGCACCATGCGCACACCCTTCGCCTAGTTTCCGTACGTGCAATAAAGAAAAAACCGGAAACAGTCGTCGTATTTTGTAAGCTATTTTTAGCAGCAAGAACTGTGCAACTTGAACTCGCATATAAATTTTGTGTAGAGTGGTCTTGACGGAAGCCATACATTTTGGTTGCAAAAAGCGGGCAATTTATTCAGTTTGTGTTCTCGGCCTACCTCAGCAATGGCAAGAGATGCTGCAGGATCATTTCTATGTGGTTTTGGTCGTGCGAGCTGTCAGAAATTCTTCGCGATCTGTTTGCTTTCGTTGTTGTTGAGTCATGTGACTCTTGCACAGCCATCCGCAAAGGTAAATTTACCGTGTAGGCTTGAGGCCTATTGGCGTTTACATAGCACTAGCCCCACGTACTAGTGTGGTAGGCCACACTAGAGTGGGGTATTCTTGCCAGTTTGGATAGATATTAGTTGATCCAGAATATTAATTTTTTTGTCAATTTTTTTTTAATAGATAATAGATTAACCTAAGGCCAAATAAAAAAAAAAAATGTTTAGGGTCCCTGCTCCCTAAATTTTGTTTTAACACCAAAAAATTTATATAAATTTTAAACAGTGACATCATTCTGGCCTCTTTGTCTATTGCATCTATAAAGCTGGTAATGGTATGTCATTCCTGAGTCCAAGTGGCAGCCATTTAAAAAACAAAAAAGATGCCGACCATCTTGAAAAATAGCTCGGTCAGGCCGCTATTTTGGAAGAAGAAAAAAAGGGCCTCCTCCCTTTTTCTCAAAAAGTAGGATGCTAAACATTTTTTTTTACTTGGCCTAATAATTAATTTTTCTCCTTTTTATTTATTTAGTTAATTGCCTTTTTGGGGGGAGGGAGGTAGTCCAAGTGAGTTGGACCCTACAAATCAACTTTTTCAGTTATGGAAAAGAAAAAAAAGTGGCCAGGATAAAGGAAGCTGGCAGGGAATAGGCCTACAAACTTTATTTTTTCTTACTCTGGTCTCTGCCTAAATAAATAAATAAATAAATGTTCCCTAAAATAAATGTTCCCCTAAATAAATTTATTAGGTTCATGGCCAGTCCAATAAAACTAAAAGTAGAGGAATGTCGTAATTTGCAACTTTGTTTTCATCCGTAGGTGAATCCCTCCATTGCATCACAGAGGCCCCTATGGAGAGCAGGGGAGGCAGAGGTGGTCATCTACCGCATTCCCTTGCTCAGTTACACCCCTGGAGGGCGCCTGCTGGCCGTCGCTGAGGCACGGAAGTACACTGGGGGAGACGCTGGGCCTAAATTCATGGTGATTCGTCGATCCTTGGACGACCTGGGTAGGAATTGTATACATACCGTGGTAGATTCCAACATGTACACCTACCGGTCCATGTCTGCAACAAAAAGAATTTTTGTATCATCCAAAATTCCTCCTACAGTACATTCTCCCAGTGGGGATGGGGGGGGGGGGGCTATTTGTTCCAAGTTTTAAGATTCTGTCTTCAATTTTTATTAAAAACTTCAAGTTTACCAAGATTGGTAGTGAAGTAGCTTCATGAGTCACAAATATATAAACTCAAAGTAAGGTCATAATTACTGGGAAATGATCAATGACAAAGGAATGCCTCTGTTGCAAATTTGGTTGAATAGCTGGATAGTCTGACACTGAAGGACTTCCTGACTGACTTGTGAGGACTTGTGACTTACTTGTGGCCATGGGCGTCGCGAGGGGGGGGCAAGGGGGGGCACTTGCCCCCCCCTGGAAAAGCAAAAAAAAAAAAAAAAAAAAAAAAAAGGAAGAAAAAAAAGAAAAGAAAAGAAAAAAAAGAGGCGCGAAGACAAAGTGGTGTAAATTTAATGAGTTGGGGGGGGGGGCAAAACGTCCCTGCCCCCCCTCTAAAGCTGATAAATCGAGAATGTTGAGAAATACAAGCAGTTTTTGGCAAAAATTTGTTTTGCCCCCCTCTAGAAAAAATCCTGGCGACGCCCATGCTTGTGGCTGACTTGTGAGGACTTGTGACTGACTTATGACTGACTTGTGAGAACTTGTGACTTACTTGAGGACTTCTGACTTACTTGTGAGGACTTGCGACTGTTGCGACTGACTTGTTAGGATTTTGTGACTGACTAGTGACTGACCTGTGATTGTGACTGACTTGTGAGGACTTGTGACCAACTTGCAACTTACTTGCGAGGACTTGTGGCTGACTTGCGACTGACTTGTGACTGACTTGTAAGGACTTATAAGGACTTGTGACTTTTACTACAACGCTGACTGCGCCCTACTTCAGCTGTGTGACGAAAATAAACAACTTCAGTCTAATGTGCCTTGTACCTTATGAAATCCTAGGTGATGAGTGGGAGCCAATGCAAGTCATCGTGGATGACGGCTACCTCACTTTTGACGGTCTCAACCTTGGCAATATCATCGTTGATGACGAGAAGGCCATCATCTTCATCATGTTTACGGTCTGCAACCATCACGATGGGTGCGACGTCACCAGCACCAAGCTCATCAGGAGCCTTGATGATGGGGTGACGTGGTCTAAAGCCATGAATATCTCCGAGCAGATTGGAACTCAGGTTTTTGCGCCTGGCCCTGGGTCCGGCTTTCAGGTACAGTCAGACTTTCTGGTTTAGACTCCATTCGTCCAAAACTGTACTTACTTATTTCCATTCCAAAATATCTGAGGCTTATTTCTGGAAACACTAAGACGGGTCTTAGTGCGGGTAACTCTTCTTAAGTCGCGACTCGTCCTAGGATCAATTTCACCAAACTTAAGATGCATTCAACACGTCCTAACTTCCTCAACAACACGGCTGCACTTGACTTAACTTAAGATCGGTCTCAGGGTCGTCTTATCTCATTAATGCGTGCGTTAATTTGTACATCTTCTGAAAATCGACATCTGTACACTGTATCTTTTGTACATCTTCTAAAGACGACTGTTGGCCTACAGTTGTAGAACTTTTTGAAAAAAAAAACCTCTATAGAAACAGATTTGAAAAGATTGCTGACACGTGGGTAGTTTTTAATAAAAAATAGTGTATTTACAAAATTAAATTATACGCCAATACCTCGTCGACTTTTTTAAATAGAGTGATAAACGGGGAGCAAGAATGACTCTATGGTATCATGTGTAGAACTACCCTGTGTGTGAAAATTATTGAGTAGCGTAATTTTTCTGGCGAAAGTTTGTGTTCTATGCATGTGTGCGGGAAGTTATTGTTTTCCGTTTCTTACCAACGACTGTTTCGTCAAGTGGTAAAAACCAACGTGAAACAGTCATCAAATTGTCAGTTTGATGAGTCTTATGTAAGCTGGGTTCAGTGAAATTGTTCTCAGGATGGGTCTTAGCTAAGATCGATCTTAGAGCGGGGGCTCGTCTCAAGTCCTAAGATGACTCGCAAGATAAGAGGAGCTTCATCTAATGGACTGTGTGTAGTCGTCTTTTTGGATTGTGTGTAATCAGTAAGATGTTAAGGCTCGTATTCCTGATGTTACTTTGTTTAGCTTTATATAGCTGTCATAGCCAGAGTTCATCATTTGCAGCTATCCAAAAAGTAACTGGCATAATTATTGTTGAAAAACATTCTTGGCTGAAAGATAGTAAGGAGACTAAACTCCCTGTGAAATTATTTTTTCTGGCAAGCTGTCATTTTGAGGAAATCAACGACAGAAGGCCTTTCCAACGGTGCTTCAGAAGCACCGTTGGCCCAATTCAAAACATGATTCAGCAACTTCTGATTTGAAATCGAGGTCCTAGAATGTTGTTTTTCCTCGAAAAAATGCAGCTGAAGCTAAGCTGAAACTTCATCAGATTGGTTGTTCAGCATCCTTCAGATATTGAGCACTTTTGTTGCTTCAAACGAACAAAATGCACAAATTACAAATGATGGACTATACCTTTAAAACTTTATAGGTGCAATCACTTTTATATATTGAACTACACTGTCGGAAACAGTAAACGATGCATAGTTATAGCTCCATGGTTTAAGCAGTGAACTTCACGTTATATTTGCACATACAAGATCGCTGGTCTTTGGAAGTTAACATTATGAATTTCAATAACCATACTTTACCGAAACTTTTCCCCTCAGAAAAAGTATGCCCCCAACAAAGGTCGGCTCGTCTCCTGCGGTCATGGTAGCTTGTACACAGACGGCATCTATTGCCTGCTGAGTGATGACCACGGCATGACGTGGTTTTGGGGCGGATCCGTCATTGGAATACCGTACGGGCAAGAGAAAGTGGAAGGGGACTTTGTACCAGACGAGTGTCAGGTGAGTACTTCTTGCGGCACTTGTTTGTGTGACATGAGTATGATGACCGATTTTTATCTAAAAAGTGAAGTCTGTCAAGGGCAAATGTGGCTGATCAGGCTGGTATTTATCTCTGGTTTCAGTGGCATGAAACGACTTGAGAGTATTTTTATTCTCCCTGGATGGGATGCCAGTCCATCGTAGGTTACTCCCCAGCTAATGCCGGTACCCATTTATACTCCTGGGTGGAGAAAGGCGAGTGGCGATGAAGTGGCTTGCCCAAGGACACAACATATGACTAGCAGCTGGATTCGAACCTCTGAACACAAGTCACGAACCCTAACCACTAGGCCACACTCCCCTTACTAGAGCGATAAATTAGAGTAAGGTGGCTTGCCCAAGGACACAACATACGACCAGCAGCAGGATTCGAACCCCTGACCCTCTGATCATGAGTTTAGAACCCTAACCACTACGCCACACTCTCCCCCGGACTTTTGAATGAATTGTTGGATTGGAGTGATTAATTTAGCTACTCTAAACCTTCGCAAAAAGTTTCTGATCGATCTGCCCATGTGCTTCTGTACCTAGGGTGTCGAGCTCCCCAACGGCACGATCATGATCAACGCACGCAACCAGTACCGCTTCAAATGCCCCTGTCGCATAGTAGCCTGGAGCTTTGACGGCGGTGAGACGTTGCCCATCCAAGACGTGTATCAGGTGGAAGCGTTGATAGAACCCGCCTGTGCAGCGGGCTTGCTGTACCACCGCAATGTGCTGTTATTCTCAAATCCCAAAAGCACCACAGCAAGTAAGTACTACTTTGAGGTTATCTACAGCATCGGCTGCTGAAGGCCTTGTTGGCAGGGGTCAGATTTGTCAGGATTTTGCCTGTTCTCAGGATTTGTAAAGAATCCCTTTTGAGTTCTTCAGGTTCAACTATCAAAGTGCTTTTACCTATGAATGTTTATATAACAAAAAAAGTGCAGTAATAGGCATTGTAGGTGGAACCTTAATTTAGGCAGAAACAGACATGTTTGTGGCCCATGGCGACCGTCAAATCCTCTGCCAATTATTTTGTGGTTTTTGTGTCGCCTAAACAAAGTTTTTGGAGACACTTACCAGTCCTAAATTCCTTATGACCAAAGGACTGTAGTTCAGTTAAGTTTTAGAGAAAAAAAAATGTTCTACGTGCTTTCATGGATTTTGATAAAACTTGGATGTGGTGACCCTTGAGTGGGAAGACACAATTCTTCATCAGATAACTGAGGTCAAAGGTCATGTGGGGGTCAACAGAGGTCATGGTTTAAATATGCTGCACATGATTCTTTGTATACAGAATTTGTGATCCTTGGGTGGGGGTTCATCACAACTCTTTCCAAATTGGAGGTCAAAGGTCATGTAGAGGTCATATGAGGTCCACGTTTAAAATGCACAAAATGAAGACTTTTTAAGAGCACAAAACATATAGGAATCGACCACGAAAAAAAGGCGACACACGCGATCCGCGGATAACTTGTTACATTTTCCCCCAATCTCACCTCTGTCTTTGATGAGACACGTATTCGTGCTTGCGTTTATGTCACTGCAGGAGTGGCCCTCACGCTACAGTGGAGTTATGACAACGGAACGACCTGGAATGGCGAGTATCAGATCTGGGATAAAGCCAGCGGGTACAGCACCATGACAGCTCATCCGGGAGCTTCACAGTACATCTTCATTCTCTTTGAGAAGGGCATCACGTTGACAACCGAGTCTATTGAGTTTGTACGCGTGAGCTTGTATGAGGACGTTTAATCGAGATTCCAGTTGTTAACCAACGAAGTGAGAATCAACGAAGACAAATTCATCGGACAAAGACTGTTCTATTTTGTATCCTTCAGGACCATGTGAAGATAATCTATGCATTACATTTTAATGTAAGTTTTAATAAGCCTTATCTTGAGGGTATGAGGGCCCAATGATTACGTTATTTTGGGGGTATAAAAAGATGTGAATTTGACAAGTTACTGCTACAGATCATAAAGTACCTTTTTGATGACATTGACTTTTTAGATTTGAGTAAAGTTACTTATAACTGCTTCAACAGATGGGAGTTTTCTTGTGTTTGTATGCCCAGAAAATGGCAGCACCCTCATCCAACAAATGTGGTCTATCAGCAGTTAACTGCTGTACATAGTTTAAGGATGAAAACAAAATTAAATTTGCATTTACGGTAAGGCCCTAAAAATTATCCAGGGAGGTAGGTAGAAAATAATTTTTCTTTTGTAAATCTTGTTTTATGGTGGTCTGTCTGTCTTTTATGCTTTGTTTTCATTAGGGTATCTTTAACAGTATTCTGTGTAAATAAATCTGTTTAAGTTTAATAGACCAAGAACACACAAAAGAGCTTGCATAGAGAAGATTTTTTTTAAATTTTCATGTCATTAAATTCTTTTATCCAAATGTGATAATAAAAAAGGTTAGAGGTCGGGTTACTGTAGGTAGGTCGGGTTACTATAAACACACTTTTTTATACCTAAAAATTTCTACCAGTTTTAAGTATGATCCTGCGTCAATCATGTACCATGCATTTGTATTTTTTATATTTTGCTTTGATTAATGGATTCATATTTTGCATGTATTTGTAATGAAGTGGTCCCTACTATTTTTGTCTTGCCTTGATTGTTGAAAAAGTATTGTTTATCACAAAAGACCTCTGACGGTGATGCGATTTCTTTTGGCAGGCTGCCTAACTGTTGAGGTGCATTTAGTATTTTTTGTAAACATTTTCATCATAATAGTCATGATCAGCAGGTTACATAATTGGAAGAGTGTTTCACACACACTACAGTTAGGTATTTAATGGTTATTTGATGTTTGTGAATTTTTTTTTTTCAATTGATGCAACAAAATTGCTCAAAATCCTAAGTTGGGTGTGTAACAGCTAACCTGTTGTAGGTTTAGCACAGAGGCTGCTATGCATTTAGAGAAATCAGAGTAATTATATGCACAATTTTTTGGGGTCTTGTAAATGGATTCCTTAGAGCTAAAACCACTTTCAATTATTGTTTTCTTTCGAACAATTTGGTGCAATTAGCAATGTTCCTATATGTAAATGCCTTTAAAGTGTCTTTTTTTTATTATGGCACATTACGTATATACGTAAGCAGAATACTGCATACTTTGTCTGCACACATAAGTAAGTCTATGTCATAAATTTTTTTTTTATTTGTCACAGGATATATTTCCAGTGAAATTGAAAATTGACACACATACTGACTTTCAAGAGTACTAATATTTTAGCTGGCAACATTTTCATCGTCATTGGTTCATGTATCATCTGTTCTCTGTTAAAAAAATTCCATGAAATTGAAAGCTCCCTTGATAAAAAAAAATTAAACAAAAATTGATATGCATAAATACTGCGAGCTGTAGGAGCAGGATGTTCTAAAATTCAAAATGAGAAATTGTTTATTTGCTAATTTCATGGACTGACTTTTTGTGTGCAATGTCTTATTAGAAAGCCAATTCAATTGGAAAATTCATTTGTAAGATGCCACACATCCAAATGACTCATTTGGCTTGATCGCATCACATATATAGAATATTTGATCAAGTCCAAATTAGAATAATCAAATAAATGAATACTAAATTATGATAATGAGACATTAGATTGACGCTCATGGCCATAGCCATAAAATTATATTATAATATGTATAGCACTAGTGTGATAATGTACGGGGTTAAATATCTGTATATAATTTGGATGATTAAATGAACTACTGGTTAGAAACTGTGATTGTTTGGATGGGAAAGGACATGTTTGGATATTTTTGTATGTAACACTGAAAAATAAAGATTGACATTCCAAACTTTTGTGTATATAGATCTTACTCTTTACTGAGAAGCTTTTTTTTTTTAAAGGTTATGGGATTATTTATAGGTCTAAAGGCAGTAGCAAATCACTTGATTTGAAATTTTATTTAATATAAAAAAGCTAAGAAATCCGACAATGAATGCTTTATGTGTAGTCTGAGGATCAGACTTTCACGTGTGCAGAGCCTGGCATGTTAAATGTTATGCCAGCCAATCGGATTCACCTTTAGAACTTGTGATGTCATTTAGAGCAACAGCCAAAGCTGTTGATTGGTCTATAGCTGCCATGTTTTACTCAAACAAAGTGGGGTTACAAAAGATACAATTGACCTATCGCCGTTTGCAAGTTAGCCACGCCCCTTAGACAACCCTATGGAATTTTGTATGTAGGTTTGTTTGTCTCAGATTTTGGGCGTACCGTGTCCATTTTTATATCCTGTAATTGGACAATATCTCACAAGCTACGTTGACACGATTCCACCGCGATAGGTCAATAGAAAGTGAACGCTGAATGGTAAGAACCTGGAGGTCAACACACAGTGTTGCTTTGCATACTCTGCATGCATATTTATTATAGACGCCTGCCGTCAGCAACTGTCTATTCCATAGACTACCTTATGTTTATGTTGTGCAAACCCAACCCCAAAACGACTCAAACGGAAACTGGCTTCAAGTCGGGTCAGGTCAGTTTATCCAATGAACACATTTTTGGGTAAACATTTTGAACAGAAAATCCCTAAACTGAGCACTGTCTTCCTGAAATGACATCACAGTAACAATCTGTCAGTTGTCCGAATAATTACGGAAATTTATTTAAATTGCTTCAAAGAAGTGCATTTTTCAATACAAGAGAAATGTCAAATAGTTTTCATACATTAAGGGGTAGTAGAAAGTAGAAAAATCATCTCATGGACCCTTCAAGATAATACAAAATACTGACGCTAGACGACTTGAGATCAAGTACTGCCATACCAAGGTCACACTTTCAGCTGCTGGTGTTTCTAGTATAAAACAAACTTGGTTGTGTAGAGTTATTATTTCTGCAAGGTTCCTCATACGTTCTTTCTGTCCTATCCTTGGAAGATGAATTAAGATACCTGCATTTCAGTTTCTGGCGTCCTCGCAATTGTCGCAAACATCCTCGAATGACATCCTCATGATTCCTTTGTCTTGTCAATCATTTACATTTGAAGATGAACACTTTATACAGTCTTACTTGTCCTGCCATCTTTCAAATTTTGGGCCAAATTCCTCGTCGGTACTATGGACTCTAATAAATGTACCTGCATTTCAGTTTCTGGCGTCCTTGCTATGGACCGATCCAGTAAGCACCGCCCCATGGTGTTCTGACCAATCACAGCCGTGATTTATGTCCGACGTGCGTGTACAAAAGTCCGACATGCGTGCACGCACGTATGAAGCGCGCGGCAGGAAAATGCAGCGTGGCATTTGAGAGGAGCATGTGCTAATTTGCCCAGTGCGCAGTGGGCGGGGCTTACTGGATCGGTCCATTGTCGCATACATTCTCGACTGATATCCTCACGATTCCTTTGTCTTGTCAATCATTTACATTTGAAGATGAACACATTACAATCGTACTTTTCCTGTCATCTCTAGGCTGCTCTCCAATTCTTCGCCAACTTCCTCGTCGGCACTATGCACTCTAATTAATGTACCTGCATTTCAGTTTCTGGCATCCTCATAATTGTCACATACATCCTCATATGGTATCCTTAAACGTTTCCATTGTCTTGTCAATCGTTTACGTTTGAAGATGAACACCTTGCAATCTTACTTGTCTTGCAAACTCTCTAGGCTTCTTTCCAATTCTCCAACTTCCTCGTCAGCACCACAGACTCCATGTAATCAGATCCCACCAGTTCATGCACATCCAGATGTAAAAATAAATACTGCAAGTAAAACTTGCGTGATCCCCCTTGCACACTGGCAGTTTGCATACATGAACAGGCATGACAGGCAGTTAGTAACAACATTTTTTCAGTGGACCTAACCCAAATGGAATGTGTCATAATTAGCAACAGGGATTTTTGTATAGCAAAGAAATGGGTGGGCAGCTGTTTAGTCGGGCAGTGTTGTGTCACTCGTGTGTGCCTCTGAAGGTAGGCTTAGTGAAAGTTCTTTCACGAAACTAGAGAAACAAAGTGACATAAATCTTTGGCTACCTAGGACAGAGGTCTGTGGAGGCCATGACATGTTGCCTGAGTCTAATCACTTTACCAGACACCATGAGCAATAACCACATGTCAAGTTTGGTTGAGATTGATGACTGAGCTTACAGAGAACCTAACCAAAGCTGGCTGGCTCAATTCTGCAGTAAGTACTGCACGCACACACACGAACACACAGAACGAATACGCGAATCGCAATATCCCCCTGTCTGGCTTCAAAGCCAAGGGGATAAAAATGCCTTGTGTATTTCGCTCCATACACGCACTGACCCGGGCAAGCACACAATGTCCAGCACTGTGGCACAGCCTGATATCCTGCAACTGGACAGAGTCCATGTCTTGTGCTTCCTCAAGACGTTCCAGCAAGGAACTCCAAAAACTCTGTGCCCATCTCGTTGTCATCACTGTCATCGTCCTCGTCCATGTTGAAGCCATCAACGGCAAGGGCGTCATTGTCATCTGCTTCCTCGGGACCGTCTTCGATGTCATCATCATCATCATCATCTTCAACATACTCCTCATCCATGTCCGCATCCTCCATGTCAACACCTCCTGCCTGAGATGTCGACGGCCTGGAGGAATCATCTCCATCTTCCTCAGCCGTGCCATCTTTGATTGTATAAACAAGGAAAAAAGTGAGTGAGTTTGAAGCACGATTCCCTCATTCAGAAATACCTAAGACAGTTTACCAATTCCTAGCGGTCGAGAGCCAGTCACTGCTGCGTTCTGCGCCACATTGCACAGTATTGTGGTGTGCGCGCGCAATTTCCATATAAGGAGATTTGTAGCACGTGGCTTGTGATTCGTCTCCTGAATGGCTTGTGATTTGATTTGTGACTTTTTCGGACTTGTAATATTTCTTGTGACTGGCTTACGATTCGACTGTGACTTGTGAATGGCTAGTTGTTTGGCTTGTGAAGTACTTGTGATATTACTTGTAAATGGCTTGTGATTCGTCTCGTGAATGGCTTGTGATTTGACTTGTGACTTCTGAAGGACTTGTGATATTACCAGTGACTGGCTTGTGATTCGTCTCGTGAATGGCTTGTGATTTGACTTGTGACTTTTGAAGGACTTGTGATATTACCAGTGACTGGCTTGTGATTCATCTCGTGAATGGCTTGTGATTTGACTTGTGACTTGTGAGGGACTTGTGATATTACCAGTGACTGGCTTATGATTCGTCTCATGAATGGCTTGTGATTTCTCTTGTGGCTTGTGAAGGACTTGTCATCTGACTTGTGACTGGCTTGTAACTGACTTGTGATGGGAACTACGATTGAACTTGTGCTGTGTAAGATTGCAACTCTGCCTCCCGCCTACCTTCTGTGAGTGCCTCCTGCTCCAACGTCTTCTGCAACTTCTCAGTCAGGATAGACCTCATCTGATCCAGGACTTCCGTCTTGAAGTACCCGACGGGTCCCCCCTGATCCGTTTTGACACTACCCGCCCGAATCATGGCCTGGATCTCCTCAACGTGGATATCACACAGCTGGTAAAACATGTTATTGTAGGCCGGGACCAGACCTTCCTTGAAAATGAAGTAGGCTTCCTGGGAAGGGAAGGAAAGACAGAATTGTTAAAATGATAGACAGTGCAATTCATTGTGTGAGTATGATAATGCTTGCATGCCCAGACCTTTTTAAATGGAGAGTACAGTCGACTCCCGTTATAACGAGGTCCGGTGGACTTTCACAATACTGTCGTTATAGCCGGAACCTCGCTAAAACCGGAGCGCAGTTTCCCCATTCGTTCTGCACAAGGTACGGTACATGTGCGCGCGTGTTTTAATCGTGTAACGCACGTCCGAAGACATGAAGAGATGGTCTTTTGTTGGTATGTACGTCTGTTATTAGTGTATATTAAATATTTAACTGATGGTGATGAATAAATGAAATAAATAAAATACCTTTAAGGGAACATTGTTTAATATTTGAGGACCTGAATCCGGAGGAAAAGGCATCATCGCTGAGAAGAATCAGGCAAGTAGGTCACTTGCACAAATCGTGCCGAGTGACATTTTGCTTTCATTTTGCATTTGCTGGAATCGGCCATTTGCATTGGGTCGGCCAAAATCGTCGTAATAGCCGAAATCTCGTTATGTCCGTGCCCGTAATAACCAAATATTTCCCCATAGTAATGTACACAAATTGATCGGGACTGGGAGAATGTGCTCGTTACATCCAGGATATCGTTATGACGGGAGTTGACTGTATATCATTTGTCATTTGAGCATCTTTTTCATTTGAAGCAACAAAATTGCTTGAAGTAAGCTTCTTAACAATAATTTAGTCAGTTACTTTTTGGATAGCTGCAAATTCTCTACTCCACCTTTAAATCGCTACACCACTACCTTATGCACCCCATTTTCCCCACTGATGTAAGCACGCACAAACTCCCAATAGTGCCCAAGAAATTTGGCCATGGTAGGAACACGCAATTAAAAGGTTTGCATCTGCACCATGTGACAAAAATCTCTCCAGGGAGGAAAATCTCTTTGTGAGTTTGTTCGGTCCGGAAAAGAGCCCGTGGAACCCAACCTTTCAAACAGTACACTCTGCCCATCATCAAGAGACCAGTTAGCTATTCCCAGTCTCTCGATGACAGGCAGGGCACAACGTCCACTTGTACCTTTCAGAACCATACAAACTCACAAAGCGCTTTCTCGTCAAATTGTGCAACTGCAATCAAACTCTTATTGCCGACTTCACTACGCACATCTTCAAATCTCTAATTTTTATGGAATGTTTAGGACGGACATAGATACCTTCTCGGCCATTGTTTTCTGTTCTTGCCTGAACTGGCTGTGCCTTGCGGGTCTGGCGGTTCTAAACCGGCTGTAGCAGGTGCTCTTGAAGCGTTGTGTTTTATCGACGGGCATTACTGATTTGCTGCTGTACAAAACTACAGGAGTGAAAACACATTCTTATAAAAATGCAAAAATAGGATTTGTCTTTTTTAAAATTACGGCTAAAGGACAGGATATCTACAGCACTTTCTACACTGAGGTTATTTCAATTAAAGGAATATTGTTTTTCGAAACAATATCTTCCTGTACTTGTTTTGACAAATTTGTTGAAATCCAGGAGACTGACCAAAACCACAATATCAATCCAAGAAGTCCAATATGGAAATGCCAGTCCTCGCTAAATAGTCAGGGCTGGTCCATCTATATCTGACCTGTTTCTTTCTTCTCCTTTTTTTTAAATTACCTGCTATAATTTCCTTTTGAACTAGATCCCTATTTAATCTCTTACCACGCTAATGCAGGAATTCTGCACCTACCCTGCAAGCACAGAGCCCTTGGTTCAGATCAAACCTTCATCTCCTTGATATTATGTGAAATTGCCTACTATTAGTAGCAAATGAAGATTCTTGTCAGTTAAAAAAAAGTGAACAGAGCCATGGAATGCAGCCTGGATCAACTGGGGCTTGTTATTTTGTTTCTGGGTCAAATTTCACAAAACTACTTTATAGTGAGAAGCCGCCCATCGACATGTTCCAATCGACATGTAGAAATCGTACTTACATCTGCGCACCCTGAAGTCCAAGGGCTGATACTGCAATCCGTCGGGCGCGGTGCGTGGGTCGTAACCCAGACGAACCCAGGTGCACCGCCACGGTCCGGAGCAGAAGTAGTAGGAGACAGAGGGCAGGAGGACGGTCAGCTGACGATCAGTCAGGGTGCAGTTCTGCCTCAGGGCACTGCGGGACCAGACAGGCCGCCGAGCAAAAACCTGGACAAAGACAATGGAAGTACTGGTTTGAGTTTAAAATATTTTATGATGAAATCTTCCTTCCTTCCTTGAAAGTGCAGCCTCATATGTATGAGGATAAACGCAGTGCCAGAAACACCGGGGCGAACCCATTCTCTTAGCGATAAGTGTTACTGGGTTCTTTAACGTGCATTATACAAGGCACGGGACCTACGGCTTTACGTCCCATCCGAAGGACGAAGCAATAATGGTTAAGTGTCTTGCTTAAGGACACAAGTGTCAAGACCTGGACTCGAACCCACACTCTGCTGGCAGAAACTCCACCATCTCTCCTTGTGTTAAGCAGATTATGAGATACCCTGCTGTCAGCACATTAACCCAACCTCTATAGGCATTTTTCTAGGAGCCTTCCTGAATCTTCCAAAATCCCCAACCGTGCACAAACTCACTGCCACAATCTTTGTACTTTGAAGGGGCATCAAAACACATGTAGTATTATACCGTCTTGGCTCTTTCTACCTCAATCCTGCAAAATCCTCCGAAACAACAATAGAGTAAGGTATCCCTCCCAGTCTTTTGCACTTCAAAACCCTTCAGCTTTTGCAAAACCACTTTTGCCCATACAGCTGCATCCATACTACCCACTCTTTTGAGGTAATCTTCTGTGGAGTACGGACAACAACTCAAAAGGCATCCAGGTGGATTCAGTCTTGCTCTCCACAGTGCTGTGTTTTATGCAGTGACTCTTGTGTGACGCAGTTATACATATTGCTCTGAATACTAACTTCCAACAATAAAGAAGGTTCATTTGAATAATCGGGGAGTACTACCTGCATCAGTTCGTCCTGTAGCACCTCTATGCTGTTGTCTCTGGCCTTGCCTTTCTCGAAGTAAAGCACGGCATCAGGATGGGGAGCTGTGGGGACGCCATCCTGCTCAAAGGGCACCATGTAAGCGTTGTGTGGCCGTCGAGCTCGCCCGCTGCCCACGATATTCTTGTCAGTCCTGTTAGCTACCTGGGTGACGGCATCCAAAAAAACAAAAAAATTATCAGTGGATTGCGTTCAAGCGGTGTGTCTTCCCCGATGGAGCTGTCATGAGAAGAGATCTTCTGTTCATGCATGGAGTCACTTTAGGTTGACTTCGTGCATGATATTGCAACAACCCTGTGCACAATAGACTGATTTACACATTGCCTGAATAAATTTATTAAGGCATCAACAACTTTTGCACAAAATCTACTTGAGTTTTAAAAATATTAAAACACAAGCTCAAACTTAGACACTCGCACTCATTATGATAAAATCAAACAACAGGTAAATGAAAATGTTTAATAAAGTGTTTTTTTCTGATGATTTTTGTGTGTGCTGTGTCAAGTAAGTGGAACATTTCAACCAATCAGTGTTGTAGTTGAGACCATCACAAGTCCTCACAACTTGATCACAAGTTCACCAGTTTCATGTCAAGTTACAAGCTATTCAAATATGAACTTTGTAAAAAAAAACACATTCCTTTGTAACTGCTCGTTCACTGTTGCTTGTTACCGGACTTGTGAAGGACCTTTGATTTACTTATGACCGTTCTTGTGATGGACTCGACAACACCACTGCAACCGAGCTGCTGCAGCTGTACCTTGTATGACAAGCTCTCGATGGAGGGTACTATATCAGGCTGGAAGTGGAAAGCTAAGGGCTGGTCGGTGCGCGAGAAGACAGGAGGCAGCATGAAGAGGGGCACGTCTTGCTGGAGATAGCTGCCATCCTCGGGTTTGGTAGGCACGATCTTCTCAATCAGTGACTCCATGCCGCCTGTCTCCTTGTTCCGATGCAGTGGCAGATACTGGTAATCACACATTCCTACGTGTTAAGAGAAGGAAAATTCTGAATTTTTTTTTGTCTGCATGTCACGTTATGAATATTTATCATTAAGGGAGTCAGGTTGGGGTAGTGATTCTTTCCTCGCCTTCCATCACTGTGACCCGGGCTCGATTCCTGCCCTGGCCACATGTGGATTGGGTTTTCAGTCCCTGCCTGATTCCGTGGGTTTCCCCAGATTGTGCCTCTGATGGGGTTTTCAAAATGACAGCATGCCAGAAAGAATAATTTCACAGAGGGTTTAAACCAAGAATGGTTTTCAACAAAAATTACCTTACTTTTTGGATAGCTGGAAAGTATCTACTCTACCTCTAAGACACTATTACCAGGCATGTACATGGTAATTTGTGTATAAAGTAAATCTAATGTCGCCAAATGTACACTCTTCAGAACCCACCCTTAAATTGATAAACTGAGTCAATGACTCCAACGAGTTCAGTCTTGTACTCTGCCTCCTCCTGTGCAGCTTCTATGACCTCATCATCTCCATCACCAGCGTCCTGACTGTCAACCTCCATCTCAGCAGTGGGAGCTGCTTTCTTGTATCTCTTTTTGACCCTGAGAAGGATGCTGGTGGTTGGCTGTTGGCTGGCATAGAGGGGGCGACAGAAAGGGTCGTCTGGTCTGAACTTCATCTGTAGCTTCGGTGCTGAGTTGGCACTGAGTGTCTGGTTATCAGAGAAATTTAATTTTAAATTAACTATTTTTGGGGAAACAAGTATCCAATAATTTGGCCAAAGCACTCCACTTGCACACTTGGCTGCAAATTCTGGCAAAACTTTTCTTTGATTTCATTGGTACCCCGCTATGATTTTGCACACGGGTGAACTGTCTCCCGAAACAAATCAACTACACATGCGCAGCTGATATAGTGCAAATGCTTATTGCGGGGTAGGGCTTACCATCCAATTCCTTGAAAATGTCCTGTTTTGAACTTTTATTGAAGTAGGCCTAATTGCAAAATTTTGATATTTTTTTACGGCACCATGGTTTAAGCCAATTTGGAAAGAATGTTGCAACCTGACGCCACTTTTTTTCTTCATATCTATCATCAGGGTCGGATCCAGGAATTTTCCCAGGGGGTGGGGGGGGTGGGGGGGGGTTTCATCAGCAAAAAAATCTGAAAATGTACACAGGTTTTTTTCTTCGGACACTTGGCCTCTGTAAAATCAAAAACTGGGGGGGGGGGGGGGGGGGGGGGGGGGGTACCATATTTCAATAGGGGGCACTGTTAAAATTCGATAATTATTAACACTAGATTACAGAATGGTGTACCGTATTTTGAACAGGCGGACATTATACCAGTATAATTTTAGAAACTTAGAATTTTTCAGACCAGTCTCATAGGGTTTGTGCACAGTGTGTCAAGTGATGTTCAGGTATGGAATTCTTTCCCCTTTTTTTCTAATTCACAACTTTGCAGGATTTTTTTAAAAACGGTTAGTAAAGTCCGAGATATCCTACAGAATCAACCCACTGCGCAATGCGATCAACCCATCGCGCAATGCGATTGACCCATCGCGCAAATCAACCAATTGCGCCCAACATACACAACCGCTGAAGTGGCATCTGAATACATTCTTTCCAATATTTTGTATGCTCCAACTTTTGTGCAAACGAAAGTTTCCATCTTCTTTTGATAAGATGAAAAATTGCAGAATCCGGATTCGTTAACCACCACGTCAACCATAGACTTGTTTGCTTCTCTGCTCTGTTTACCCCTCGGCAAGCAGATCTCGCGATCGATGTGCTATTGGGATTGTGAATGGGTTTATTCAACGACGTCTACGGCGGGTCTACACAATCACGACAATCGCCATTGAACACTCTGTCTGTCGTCTGCAAATTCGATGACGTGCTCCTAAATCAGAACACAAGAAATCCGCAGTTTCATTGTAAAATTTTCGTGAAAACACCGACCTTTGAGACTGCTTCCTCTCCACCAAGGGTCTTGAACATCTTATCTACATTCTGCACTCTGGCTGGAAATTCAACACAAACGAGCTGTGGAAGTTTTTGCGCATCAACTGAAGCAGACGAATTTTCGTCTTCCATCGTGTTGTCCGCCATTTTAGAAAGTGTCCTCGTTCGAAATTTTCAGACTAAAATAAAAGAACTTAAAAAAAAATAGACAAAAATTAAGAACTACCACGCTGCCTTGTAAAAAAAAAGACTAAAACGACATGGAAAAAAAAAAGAAAAACATCGAAAACACACACCAAAAGAAGAATTATGAACGAACACTTCGCCACATTTTTTCCCCAAAGCTACCTGTACGAAGGGGCGTGGTTTCGAAATTAGATGCACCGAGATTTGGGGGAGGTGTTGGTGGGGCAAGATTAGGTCAAATACGATTGATTTAGGTGATTCGAAGACAACAATGAGTATTGATGAGATTTTGCTTAATTTCTAAGGAGAATACCATTCACCTGTTCTCCTCCCCAGCCTAACGCTCGGTCTATTAATTACAAACCAACAAAATCAGTAATATTCTGAGCTTGTTTTGCTGATGGTCCTCTAGACTCACTGATTGTTGACCGACTCATTACTGACTATTGGCTGATGAATAGAGCCAGGCAGTATGTTATGTATACAGTTACGTGGGAATGGTTGTAATGGGCTGAACCATATATTTTGCACATATAGTGTCAATATATTGTCTTTTTATTTGTTTCCAACAAAATGGTAGCTTTGCATAGAAAGAGTTATTTGGACACAATTTCGTATTGGCAAAATAGTCAAGAAAAATAGAAGAATCCATTCACCATCTTGAAAAACACCTGCCTCCTTAATTTTGTCATAAAGGCTAGACGAGACACTACTAGAGCGGATCCAGAACATTTTTTTTGGGGGGGGGGGCAAAAAAAAAATTGGGTCCCCTCCCAAAAAATTGAAGTTTGGATTATAGATGCTCTGTTGTGCAATCTGAGGCAATTTCTGACCACTTTAACCATTTTTTAAGGAAAAGATGGTGGTGTACACAGTGCCTGCCTTTATTGTGACGTCACTTTAAGAAAAACTGGGTTTTCGTTTTTTGCGGGCATTATGTTGTGACAATTGGGCAAGAAATATCTTTTCAATTTTTTTGCCGGGCATTACCATTTCACTTTGTTTTCCCGTGTCTTTAATATTCTTCAGATTACTGATGTCTCAATAAATTTTTTGAAAGCAGACTCGAAAACAAACACAACAAAACAAAAATCAACAGCTGCCAAAGTTTAATTACATTCTTAATTTCATTGCAACTTTTATTTCTTCATATAGAGGAAGGAAAGAGTTTTGTTTATCTTTCCCATGTGAATTCCAGCGATGGCCAGATTAAAACGATTTAAGACAGTATATTCATTTTTATTTACACATTGTTTAAAGCTTAATATCAGATCCTACATAAATACTCGTGAAACTCAACAGTGGTGTGATTCATACTTTATAGCACATGCAGTGTATGTCTATAGCCATAAATTACATGTCTGGTTTCACATTAAAATTCAGTAACGATAGCATGATAGCGAGGCGGAAAATACAAGCTTTTGTAGTATTTCATAAGAGAATCAGCAATTAAAATATATTTTCAGTATCTTTTAAGAAGTAGAAGAAAGGATTGTGTTCATTCTATTGTCCCATCAAAAAAAAAATCAACCGTTTCCCAATTAATCTAACAACTTAATATTCCGAGCAAATGACATGAAACCAATTAATATAACCGAGAATGAAACACGGATGCAACCCAGGATATTCATTGCACTATTCGTTCCAATGTTCTCTTCCTAAAGCCATTCTGACATCAACCATCAGGCTAGTTACAACCATTATCTGCAGCTTACGAAAATGTATTACCCTTTTCCCCCCTAAAATAGTAGTAAGTAAGAATCCAGAAAAAAAATGTATGTTTGGTATTAGACCCAGTAACTGGGGCGCTAAAACTCCTTTTTTGAAATTTTGGTATGATCAATCTAAACCAAAATTTCAAAAAAGGAGTTCTAGTGCCCTAGTTACTAGGTCTAGTCTGGTTTTCATTTCTGTGGTACAAGCACCATATGAACCAATGCCCATCTAACACAGTATGAACTCTCTCCAAATATACACATTCCTTTCTGACTTTTCTTTCAATAATCTGAAATTTTCAATATGTGCAGCACACTTTCCTATGCATTTAGAACATAACAGTGCATTTCACAAATGTGGAAAATACACATGGGGTAACAAGCAGGTGAAGTTTATAAATTCAGACAATTAATTAAAACTGTTTCAGTATCTAGACCAAACTGTACATTTGCGGAGGCCCCCTTCAATGGCCGAAGCATTGTGCTAGCTATTGTACAAAGCAACTTCCCCATCGCGGATTATCTGAATAGCTAGCACAATGCTTTGGTCATTGAAGGGGTCCTCCATAAGTGTACGCTGATCACGTGTTTGGATTGGTCCACACTTACCAAGGCCAACAAAAAATGAACCAATTAAAGGTAGAGTACATCATTTGTGCTTTTTTTGTTGAAGCAACAGAAGTGCTCAAAATGTCAAGAAGGGTGCTGAACAACTAACCTGAAATGAAGTTTTAGCTCCGTGAATGCTGTATATTCTGAGAAAACAATATTCTAGGATCTCAAATTCAATAAAAAAGTTGCAGAGTCATGTTTTGAATTGCGCCTGTTATCAGTGCCCGAGACACATTCTCATTCAGTCGACTGCAGCTACGCGATGTCGCGCACTGAACCGACGATTTATAGCAACTGCTCGCATGTGTGCGTCGTGTCAACGCTTGCGCGCACCCATTCACAGCTTCGCCAAATTAAAAATGAACTATTAACAGAAACTTCCAAAAATGCGTCTAAAGATGCATCTTTGGAAATGATCTTCTTTTATTGTTTTCTTCAAAATGACAGCATGCCAGAAAAAAAAATTCACAGGGAGTTTAGCACTATTACTATCTTTAAACCAAGTATGTATTTCAACAAAAAATCTTGTCAGTTACTTTTTGGATAGCCACAAATGATATACTCTTACCTTTAAAATTGTTTACTGAAATAACTGTTACGATTTTTTGAGACAGGGAATATTCGTATTGAAGTGTTTTGCACTACTGGTCAAACTTTGCCCCAATTTTTTCCCCAATTAAAATATGTTTTCTTTACTATGTACAAGGGTGTGCTAGTATATATCTCTAACTTTGGAAATTAAACGGAATAGATAAAATAAACACATTAGAATATCCATCAATATTTTGTACATTCCTTTACTCAAGTCAAACTGAAATTAAAATTGTACACAGTATTATTGGGAAGCGATAATTGTCTTATAGAGAGAACTACGACTTTTAAGTAGGTGCGAAATGACCTTTAATCAATTTCTCTTCAACTCAAGTTAAGCAGAATCCCCGACACAACATGCAATTGACACAATTATCATATTAAACAAAAACAAACATTCAAATAAGAATTAAATAAAATAGTGCATTGTCTACAGAATCCACTGGACAAATCCAGATATGAAAACCCATAAACGTAACAATGTGGGCATTAAAATTATGTCATCTGAAGTTTTTTTAATAAATATTTTAGGGAAAGAAAAAAAATAAAATCACTCAAGGTTCCAGTGTAGTGTTCTTTTAACCATCAATTTGAAAATTACGGGTCTGCAACTTTGCTCATCCTAAAACTCTTCATGTACCAAATAATGCTCTGAAATTCATTTTTTAAGATTTCTGTAGCTTAATAGTGGATTATATATCTGTTATAGTTGAGAGAAACGTGTGAACTCTTTTATTATAGCTTTCCAATGGCTTTTGTTTATTTCTTTGAAGTTAGGAAGACATGAATTTTAACTTCTAAATAGCTGGTATGCTGTTCATAACAATCAAACAGAAGTTGTACTTTAATACCAGTGCATCTTCAGAAAACCTGTTAGTGAAAGTCTACCTGTGGTGCACTATGATCCACACAGGAAAGATTCATTGTAAGAACTGCTAATGAATTTACAAGAGTTGTCACTAAGTCATCACATGTCAATCACATGTAAACCAATAGGGTAATCACATGTCCATCGGATGCCAATCACCTGCCAATCACATGCCAATCACAAATCCATCACATGCCAATCACAAATCCATCACGTGCCAATCACATGTCCATCACATGTCCATCACATGCCAAACACATGTCCATCACATGCCAAACACATGTCCATCACATGCCAATCACATGTCCATCACATGCCAATCACAGGTCAATCACAAGTCAATCATAAGTAGTCCAGTCTAATGCAGAGTGTGAATTTTGACAAAGGCAAGATTTTGTCGGTGTTTATCCACACTTTTTGCAATCTGACTTGTGATTTCAGAGCTTCTAATCGGCTCTGAAACGAGGGACATAATGTTTACATGAAGTCTGAGGTATAAAAGAAAGTATATTATGCAACATATGTTATCTGCAAATTGTTTTTAAAAAAGGAGGAAATCTTGGATTTCTGAGGATTTGTGAGGACTTGTGATGAACTTGTGAGGACTTGCAAGGACTTGCGGGGACTTGCAGGGACTTGTAATTAACTTGTTAGGACCTGTAAGGACTTGTGATGGACTTGTGAGGAATTTTCTGATGACCTTGAGAGGACTTGTTAGGACTTGTGGGGGATGTGAGGACTTACGATGAACTTGTGAGGACTTGCGATGAACTTGTGAGGACTTGTGATGAACTTGTGAGGATGTGTGAGGACTTGAGAGGAATTTTCTGATAAACTTGTGAGGACTTGTGAGGATGTGAGGACTGGTAGAGAACTTGTGAGGACTTGCGATGAACTTGTGAGGATGTGTGAGGACTTGTGACGACTTCTGATGAACTTACAAGGACTTATGATTAAATTGCCAGGACCTGTGGAGACTTGTGAGGACTAATGACCCGACTACAAACTGCTCCCAGGACAGAGCACCAAGTTCTACCTCGCCGTTGGGTACTGCCTCCTTGCACCATAGCCCCGCTTGGTTGATCCCGCCACGCCCCTGGCTGGCCCTGAGGGGGGCATGGCTGGCCCTGAGGGGGGCATGGTGGGCATGTTCTGTGGGTTGAAGAACATCGGTCCTGCCGGTTGGGTTGGGGGTTGCTGGGGCTGACTCGGCTGGGCGGGGGGTTCATCTTGGGTATTCTGTTGCAGAATGGAAAGGGTGAAACTTTGATCAAAATTCAATGTGCTACGAAGTGCTGGTGAAAAGGAGTCATATACTTTGAACACATGGCTCAATGCATTTCACAGGGATTGATAAACTCGATTCTCAGTGGATAGCAAATTATGTATCAGTGGATAGAGCAACAATTATACAGTGGTCTAAATACTACACAAAGTTAGAAAAACTCTCTAAAAATAAGTGTTCTGTTGATGGATTGAGGAACTGAGTTTCCTTTTTTCAGGCATTGGATTACAACTTTTGGGGGATTTACTGTAAATAGTTTTGAATTTGCAAATAAAGTGTCTCTGCAGCTAACAGGCTACTATAGTCATAACTAAAATCCTAGTAGGATACATACTGGCAAATGCACGCTAATTTAAAAATATTACATGGTTTGCGGGTGGATAGTTGATGTTAGCTGCCCTAGGTATTGGAAGTTGACAAACTAGTTCCTTCGCCTAACCAACCGAACTATACCATGTTATATTTTGTTTTACTATAACTCATACATATTCACAAAAATTTGGTCAAGTTATGCAACAGTTATCTCGGGAAAACGTTGCTGTGTGTGTGCCCCCATCTTTTCATGTAGCTATGGCTATGTTAGTGCGTGTGCACTAGGCCCCGTGTTCTACTTGCACGATTACGTCTTAAGTTAAAGTACATGCATAGTAGACTAGCATGCCGGTAACCCATGCTAAGCATGTGTATTTACCCTGTACGTGACCACTTCGCATGTGAATTTACTTGGTAAACATCAAAACTAGTGGCTGATACGATGGTGAATGGACCAGTGAAAATTCGGCTCTCCATCATGAATATGTAAGAGGTATAGTAGTAAAGGATTCTGCTAGTAAAACTTTGCCACTACAATGTATGTACAGAAAGGAACCATCTGTAGGTAATAACAGCTTGCATGGCTATGCAAAGCTGAAGACACACATGGTCATAACATCACTGGTAATGATGAATAACGCAAATGTTTTGCGGTATTCAGAACGGATGACGGATAAACACGCAACGAGCGAGGCCGGAAGTATCAGGCTGTGCTACCCGCAGATGATGGCCTGAACCCGTCTGGCATCGAGGTTCATAAAAAACAATCCCATGCCTGGGTCCGGTCAATGTCAAAAATAATCCCGGCGCAAACTGGTTAAAGTTAAAATTGGTTTGTGTTTCAATTCAATGCCAGTAAACATCTTATTGATATGCGAATTCACAACAATTTCACCCAATTCGACTTGCATAAATTTCACTGAAAAAAAATTATGATAACCCAGATTAAATATTAGTATGGCAAATTCACTGCATGACAGTGATTAGTTTGAGGCTGCGAAAGGTTCATCAATATTCATGAATTGTTAGTGATGTCAGAATATTAATGACTACTGTGTTAGTAAACTGCAAACTAGTGTATGGACAACCGGATTATACATACAAGGCGATAAGACCTCCATGCTCTCTGTTAGCATAAATTAAAAAAACAAGAATACAAACAAAAGCCAAATTTAATATTTTTCAAGCATTATCCAGATCTCAGAAATTGCAGAATGTAATTTGTAATTATGCATGATGGTGAGTACGATTTGAGAGAAGCTTCAATATACATTTATTCTATTTATGTTCATGACATATTGACTGAAATGTCAAGTTAATGTCCAATTCTTTTCAATACCACATGTCCTTTTTTTCCTCTTAAAGGGAAAATACAACATTTGCAAACATCAAAAAATAAAACTACCAAATCATTTTGAAATACCTTGCTGGACTGTTAGTGAATGACAGTGTAAAGCATCCTGTAAAATCATGGCACCTGGTATACTGTCATTTTCAAGAAAAGTGGTATTTTTGTATCAATTTCCAACGCTGATCGGCCGATCAGCGTTGGAAATTTTTTTTTTCAAATACTGGCCCCAATTGACCATCGCACTTGTTTGCAATCGATTACAAACCTATGAATGGGTACGAGCCAGCTAGACTGGTTCCCTGACCTTACAATTTCCCAATGTATGTAAACTGCTCTGTTTCTTCTTATATGGAGTCAGGGAACCAGACTACAGGAAAATGATCGTTTTTCTTGGTTTTTATAGCATTTTCGAACCCAAAACCTCAAAAAAGTCAGTGTAACTATATTTGCTATATATTTCCAACCCCCCATTTTCATCCATTTCTGAAAATTACAGCAAAAGCAAATGATGTATATTCCCTTTAAGAATGATTGACTTCATTGGTGTATTGTAAACTTCTCCCAAATACATTTATGTGCTTTGTGTCGATTGGGGGGAGAGAGAAAGTGGGAATGAAGTGCTGAAAAGGTAAAAAGGTAAAAATTTTGCTGATGCAAAATGTGAGACAGGGAGAGAAAAATTACCTCCAAGAAAACATTATTCCTTTTTAAAAACTACACACGAATCTACATTCAAAATGTTCAGGATGATTCTAAATATCACTAGGTATGTACCACATTAGTAAGGTGATTATGCAAATAAAACAGACGTGAAAGACTACTAAATAAAACACCACTGCTTGAGGTGTCCAGAGAGAATGGAAAATCCAGGAAAAAGGCAGCGATCATGTGTTAACTCCTTAAGCGAGATATAAAACAGGGTGATTGAGGAGGAGCAGTGTGCTGCGATGCTAAACAGCTGGTGATGATATACGGAAATGTAAGGACCGATAATGATTTGTCTACGTATGGTCCCTGAAACTGTTAGGAGCCCAAGCAATTTCTTGATTGCCTACAGACTTTCCATGACCAAACGTGAAAGTTGGTGAAGCAGACGTCATTGCATCTGAAAGTTAACTGAGCATTGTACTAACAACATCAGTTCCCAGTTAAAATCTTGTCGACACAACAACTACCTGTAGAACTTGAGGTTCAATGAATTTTGGAGAAGAAAACAATACTAGACATTTCTGTCATGCATAATTGCAAAGCAGTTTGCACAATCAGAAATCCAGAATCTTTTGAACAAAAGACTTCAACCAATGAAGTGCAATTTCCAAAGCGTATTTTTTTTTACATTGTACAATTTTAGACCACTAACCATATTTGCCCAACAACAAATCTGATCTGTCAACTTTTGCCATTTAGTGAAGGAATTAGTAACTCTGTACATGACAGCTGAGAACTGATTGTGTTGGTTTTTTTTGCGTCCAATCTGTTTTTGAATCTACTTTAATCCTCGGGACTTTACATAAAAATTGCTCTAATTTTTTTTGTATCGGGTTTGCCCTTTACTAAAATATATTTATAAACATTATATACTCAGTGCTGGCTTGGGAGAAATGAATCAAAAATCACTCGGGTGGGACTCGAACCCATGACCTCCTGCTTACTAGTGCAGATGTCTCACCACTCGACCACCAAGCTTGCCTGGGTCGGCTGGCCGGTTCGAGTCTGATATAGCAGCAGGTACTGCAACCAAGCTTGTGAATTTTTTTCTTGCATGTCCTCGAACAACACTTAGTATACAGTGTTTATAAAAATACGGCGAAGGGCAAAACCCAATTTAAAATCAACATCACCCTGCGAAAATTCCATCTTATAAAAAATTGCTGTAATGCGATGGTTGGTCATGAAAACTCTTCACCAAATACCCAGGAATCTTTGCAGAAGAGATTAGTGTGGAAAAGCCCGAGAGCATAGCGCAGGATGAGCAAGGAGAAATGATGAGAATTGCTGATGTGGAATCCTTGGTACCTTGTCTTGCATATGTTGGCTGACCTCATAGGACAGGGAACTCATGGAGCTAGATCGAGATAACTGAAGCAGGCAGGAAATCAAGGTGAAAAACATAGAAACCGCAAGGGGGGAAAAACTCCAAAATGGGGGTGGGATGGGGGATGCACTGCAGTGACCCTAAACCAGCATTTAAACAAGCCTGATTTCATCACGATAAGAGAGATTAGCAGAGATGTAATGGCCACAGTCACAAGTCATCACAAGTCAATCAGAAGTCACCCAGTCTAAAGTAGTCTTAGTCCAAGCCTGGATTCATTTTTTATTCCCCTATAAATACAATCAGTCCCTGAAAAGCTACCAACTGAATCAAATCCAATCTTATCCTCAGGCGTACATTAGCTTGAATACGTTTTCAAGCCAAATGCACGTGCATGAGGGAACACTAACATTTTTCCGGGTTGCGCTGCCGAAATTCCCAAGACTGGATTTGATTCATCTTGGTAATAGCAACCTCTTCTACCATGGTGGATTTACTGCACTTGTCAGGGACCTGCTGTAGGGAATCAAATCCAACCCCAGTCTTGGATCAAGGCTACTAAAGTCTAAAGTCACAAATTCCTCAAATGAACTCTGACTCAGATATTTCTTTGTCATTATTCATGCCCCTATTACTGGGACCTGATTTGTGGAATAAGCTGTGATATCTCTTGTGATTATCTTGTAATTAACTTGTGTTCGACTCGATTTACAACTGAATATCAGTACAGTCATAGCCTATGTCTTCTGTGATGAAATGATACCTTCTAAGAATGTAGGAATACCCGATTATGAACAACATCAGTGTAAAGGCGGGTTCATACTTCATACGAATGTGAAGCGAATTTGACGTCTAAAAGCATTCGCTCATTTCGCAGTGACATTCTCCGGAGTTGAAATGTGTTCAACTTTTGCAAATTCGCGGCGCGAAAACTTGCACCGACGTCACAAATTGGTGAAGACTCAAAAACAAGGGAACAAAAAAATCAAGCAAGATGCCATGCACAGTATGCTGAACGAAACTTGGTAATAGCATGTAGTAACATATATTTTTTTTATACCTGATGATTCGGGAGAGGTATCTTTTAATTAGATTGTGGTCCAAACCCCCGCTATGCACTGATGGCTAAATGGGTATAACAAGCCAACGTGATGGATGCACAGCATCTATTTCTCATCATCTCTACATCTAGTAATTGTATTTGTTTTTTCCTGAGCTGGAATTTCACTCAGGAAAACTAGAATTCAATTCTTCACTTCCAACTGGTAGCACTGGCCAATCACTTGACAATATTTAATGGAGAACGAAGCTGAGTAGATACTCAATGACAGGTCTGGTAACCTGTGCAAATTTGTATGTCTATGCGGCAGGTCACCAGATAGACTGGTCCCTCCTTAAAAACAGCAAAAACCTGAACATGCCTGTGATGAGGTAATACAGGAAAACTCCGAATGGATTTCACACCTTTTTACCAAAACTGTCAGAAAAATGCTTTACAATGTCACACTACTGCCCCATGACTTTTGAAATGATGGAATGTATCTTCAGATATGGGTGAATGGAAATCACCAAAATGCTATGAAAAAAGGGAAAATGTCTTTTAAAAAGAGTATGTGCTTTGAGCATGCGCATACAGTGAAACGTGGAAAAACTTAAAAGAGTTAACAATCTCAAAACTTAAAATATTAGTTCAGAAACTTCTATTAGAGGTCTTTAATAGTTAAAATGATTAATAGCAACAACAACACACTAAAATAACATACTTTTATGGTCTATGCAACCAACCATGCATATCGAATCCCCTGATTGGCTGCTCTGGTAAGCCTGTGATACATTCTGACCAATCGTATTCGATGATAATTACAAGTCATAATCATTTTTACCCTCTCAAAAATCCTACACGAGTGGTTGCTCGAGAGCCCTTGGCAAAATTGGAGAAGCCTATCTTTTGCATGTTTTTTTTCTCCCCATTTTGATTTGATCTGTCAGTTTCAATATGGGCTAATATTTCCATTGTGCAAGATGAAGCCTATTACTCAAAACTCGCTATGGTGACTCATGACTCATTTTGCTGAGTTGAGTCACATTTGTGCATTGTGTAAGAAAGCTGAGTGATAAGTTAGTGCTGTGCGTAGGACTAATCGCCCATCACCGCTACTCAAGTGAGTTGCAGCATTCAAATCTCTCACATGGCTTCCACTTACATTTTCCTCCTGTTGAGACTGGGTAGGCTGCGTGTTGCCGACTTGGTACATCGATGGCGGCTGTTGTTGCTGTTGTTGTTGTTGTTGTTGTTGATACTGATTCTGTTGATACTGTTGTTGATCTGTTGAAGCATTGGCGTTGCTGTTGGCACTGCTGCCGAATGTGTTTGGGTTAAAGAACTGATTAAAGAAAAGAAGACAACAAAATGAAATGGTTAATTTTATTATGAAAATCTGAACAATCACAAAGCAAACAGCGGTGTGGCTTAAGCCCACCGCACATATTTCCAATTTTATCCAATGAAATCAAACACGTTTGATTTTTTCGCATCCGGTTTCACTGGATCCGATGTCATCGGAAAAGTGTGCGGGCAGCACTCCAATGCGACCGGGTGCAATATTTATGCCATGTTGTCACCATGTGACTGGTCATCATGTGACTGATCAATCATCATGTGATCGATTATAGAACAGCATTAGGCATGGGTGCGGGTTAACATTGCGGTCTCTGCAACGGTGGAAAAAACATGTTCCAGTGTACGTCAGGGGTGTGAGTGGAGTCCAAAAAAAATAGCTGAAAATAGCTGAACCTGTAAATAACCGAACCTGCGAGCGCGTAGCGCGAAGCCCTTACGGCGTGGGGTCCGGGGCCCGCCCAAGGGCCCCGAAAAAATTTTGAAATGTAGATGCTCTGTGGTGCATTTTAAAGCCCCCTTGCATGCCTGGACCAACTATTGGTCGAAAATGTTTTGCAATTTATGCATGTTTTTAAGTTAACTTTTCCTTCATATTGGCTTGAAACTGCCTAAATGGCCAACTTGTATATGAAAACTGGGAAATTCAACCACGTTTTCCATAATATGGAAAACGTGGTCGAATTTCCCAGTTTTCATATACAAGTTAAAATATTATTTTAACTCCTATACAAGTTAAAATATTATTTTAACTCCTTACTGCAGATGATACACATCGTCATCGCGTGTCCCGGCTTCTGATCGAGTCGCCTAATTTCTGCCCATTAACCATGTGTTCCATCCAAATCCATTTCCACGGATTCGTAACCTGAGGATCGGTCTTGTCAATATCCGTATCAAACTCCGAACCTCTGTGGATAATAACACATTTGTGTTGCACTGACATCTTGCGGAATTAATAATGTCAAAATACGTTCGAAACATTTGAAACGACACACTAACGTACATATCAGCATGCAGCGGAATACGCAGCAGGCAGGATGCGCATGCAATGAAATGCACACATGATGCCCTCTACCGGCGCAGCACGGCGACAATTTACTAGTCTTATTTCAAGGCTTTATATTTGCAACAAGACGATGTTTACAGCGAGTTATTGTGGAGATCATCGCGTGTCACTACATGCATAGACACAGGAACGGCCGCAAAGAGTCCCAACGCGCTTCATGGCGCATGTGTGAATATTCATATTTATCTGCAGCCAATCACAGCGCAATGACTGTTGGTTCCCCGGATGCTGTTTACACACATTGGGTACACACGCGGCTTCGAGCTGAAAAATGCATGCACATGGCATCGTATAGTACACACGTACGTACGTGCAATGTACATGTACATGTCCATTAAATACTCGCTTGCACGCACCCCATCCCAGAGATACGTGTATGTTGTAGATAGAGAGCGGATCGCGTGTGTTCGGCGGCGGCGGAAAATAAAATAAACGGAAATAAAATCAATGCTTACGCGCGGGGGAAAAAGCGGGGGGAAATCTGGACCATCGGAAGAAAAAAAGCGGAAAACAAAATGTGGCACGCTGAACCAAAAAGCGGAAATCCGCTAAATAGCGGAGATTTCACACCCCTGGTACGTGTTCTGCATAACCCCCGAGGACCAACACACAAAGGGAGAACAACAGATCCTTTCAGTCCTCGGGAGTTGGGTCTTTTGTTGGAAACGGTCCTCTGTAGTAAGATTGTGTGCTTAGTCTATGGGAGAGTGTTATATTACAGGGACAAAGGGAAACACAAAGCATTGTCCTCGAGAGTATAGTAAAACAAGAGTGAACCGGTATAATCAGAAAGGTGTGCGGCAGGCTTTACTCGGACAGCCAGTGTGTGAGGGACACAGTGGGACTAGACGTTATTATTTCTGGTATACCTGCTGCTGCTGCTGCTGCTGTTGTTGTTGTTGTTGTTGTTGTTGTTGTTGTTGTTGCTGTTGTTGATTTGTAGCTGATTGATGTCCTGGTGATGCTGGACTAGCTGGGGTTTGTGAGCGCGACGAGGGGTTGCCGACCTGAGGCTGCTGGTTGGAATCAGTTGTGTCATCTGCAACTGTAACCAGAAAATAATGACTTTTTTTTAAACACCTCTTCCATATTTATGATCCATTCATAAATACCTGAGACAGTTTACTATTGGTCGAGAGCCCGTCACGTGGGTGATTTTAAACCACCGGTAAAACAATGCCGCTTTCTACGCCACATCACCCCTGTTCATCATGCCTTACGATCATTTTTTGCAGCAGCTCGAGATCAGCGCATTCTTGTCTATACCTTCACAGGTACCCATTTATACTCCTGGGTGGAGAGAAGCAATTGTAGCGAATTGTCTTGCCCAAGAACACAAGTACCATGTTCCCCGTCAGGGTTCGAACCAACGTACCACGACATGCGAGTCAAACATTGTAACCACAGTGCTCCACAAAACTTAAAATGGGCACAATTTCAGAGGAAAGTCCGTTTTCAGATATTAAATCATAACTGTACGGGGGAAGACCTATATTTTATTAATATTTTAAAAACCAACTTTGTTTCCCCGGCAACTGCCAAGAAGAGTCGGTTTTTACAGATTAATAAAAAAAAACCAACTAAATTTTGTACCAGCTCCTGGGACAAAGAAGTTCATGTTGGTCGCTGGAGGTCCTGTAGGGAGGGTCTGGAACAGGTTGCTTGGGGGTTGGGCTGAGGAGAGAGTTGCTGGCTTAGCGTTGCCTTGAAAGACGTCCACATAATTCCGCTTGGCTGTCAATTTGGAATAAAAATGGAGAGGGTTAATTTTAAATTTTAACACAGCCAAATTCACAATCTGATACACAAAATAAAATAAAATTCCTCTTCAATAACATTTCAAAATTGTCTGATGACAAAATGTGCAGTGGTGGGGATTGTGATGATCTGTGGGCATCTCTCTCTTCGATTTGTTTTCGGTTTTGTAAACAACATGCTCATATGGGGGGGGGTCAATTACTGGTCACTGTTGACAAAATTTCAAATTATGTACAAGGAGAAAGGAGAGTAACAGTATACACATATCTGCTTCTGTAGAACTCCTTCAAAACTGTTGCTGGACTAAATGTTGTTTTATCCTTAATTCTTTATGACAGTGACGATTACATTCAAACTAATCGTGCTTAAGGAAAGGGAAAATATGTACCAAAAACAGTCAACACATGAAACAGTTAAGAAGAATGAGAGCTTACAGTATTGTGCATGGGTTTTATTCACAAGTCGGCCATATTGAATTGAAAAGGAGGAAAGTGAGGTGAAATCTTAAATTTTGGGAGCTTTCAAAGAGAAATGAGAGCAATTTAATTTATAGTAATTCCAGTCTGCTTCAATGAATAATTTTGAACTTGTAATTAAACATTCCCTAATGTTTAAAGCCATATTTAAAAAACAAAATGACAGTAAAATAAGGCTGCATTGTGCCTGCATAAATAGTCTGGCGTCATCCCATTCAACAGTTAACAATGAATGGCATACATTCAAGGAACTTGACAAAAATGGCCAACTCGTGAATAAGGCCAATGAAACAGTAAGGAAACATCAAAGCTTAAACATAAGGACACAAAACAGTTGCCACCAAGGAAAGCTAACACATATCACATGAAACAGTTAAGACTAAGGGGAAAGTTCTCACTACAAGTCCAATTGGCATTCTGACACAGCTCTTTATTATTCTCCAATTCAGTGACCGTTTCATGTTTACCTGGGCGTCTGAATTTGTTATCTCCGGAGGCTGGTGGGCCTGGAGGTCCCTGGGTGCTTCCCCCACCCTGGGGATCGGCAGATTGCGGCACCGATGAGTGGAGCTCACGGTCAGTAGGGGGCGCTGCAGGGGCTGCATCGCTCTAAAAACCAAATTTGCGACACATATTTCATGCATTATCAACAATGAAAATGCTAATCTTCCAAGCTAAGCCACTATAATTTTAATTGGATACAAAGAAAACTACGGATACCAAAAACAGAACATTACGGAAAGTTGTGATTGCCATAACATTCATAATCCTATGGACAAATCCAGGCACATAATCACTCTATACATATAAGGCCCCCTTCAAAGGAGAAACCATTGTGCAAACTATTGTACAAAGTGACAGCCCATGATGGATTATCTGAACAACAGCCAACACAACGCTTTTGCCTTTGAAACGGGCCTTTGTCATAGAACTGACAATGCGCCCGGTTTGATCTGATACACGGTACCCTGTGGAGACATGTGTGTAATAGGGAACACAAGATTGTATACATCTCCACCAGGCAATTTCTATAGGTGAATACGTTTCCACAAGGTTTTCACAAAATAGATATATGGTTTTTACTACTAGGAATTTCGAAGTTGTGTTGATCGGTCGCAAATTGAATTTCAGCCCAGGAAATTAACTCTGGTTAAAATACATGTAGGAGCATTTTGAAACTAGATTTTCAAACTCAAAATGTTAGTACACGAGAACAAAGAAATGACTCCACAAGGATACAAATTCCAGTATGTATGTTCAATAAGAATTAAGCTTGCTGAATTTCCTTTCTTGAATTGCATCTTTTCAAATTTCAAGTTAATTTCTCTCAGACATGACAAGTTCGATTTGGAGCCCAAATTCTACCAGAACGAGCTTCTGAAATATTTCCTCTCAAGACACAGTGCTCATACCAAATATTTTACAGGGGTGAGACTGAGCGAAAATGAAATATCCATGGAATTATCCACAGAGGGTTGCTGAGGGCCACAGAGCAACGTTGGGTCCACGGGATATGTTTGTACAACTTTGCCTATAAAAAGGAACCCCTAAAATACCAATTTCTTTTGTTCTATGTAAAACCTTGATAGGCAAAAACAGGTTCACAGAAAAACCTCTAGAATTCTTAAGGGGATCTTTAAAAAATACTGAAATCACATAAACTCCCGACAAAAAGTCCTGAACTCAGGGAAAATCCTGACAAACTATCCAGAAATCAGGAAAAATCCTGACCAAAAAATCCTGAAAATCAGGCAAAAAATCCTGACAAATCTCACCCCTGATTTCAGTGAAGGGAAACAAAAGCCACAATTTCTGAGGATTTGATTACAACTCCTGATCAAAGAAAAACAACTTACCTCGTCTTCGTCTGCATTGACATCCACCCATTTCTTCTTCTTCTCATCCCACTGGATCTAATCACGGGATCAAACCACGAGACAAGGAAGAATTTAGATGACCAATAAATGTTTGGTCAATTGCACTGATTTAAATTACATCCACAATTATTCATAAAAAAATTTGAAGGAAAATGACAAATTTCAGCTACCACCACAATTATGAATGTATCTACGGTAAGTTCATATTCGGTGCTAAAGCAATCATGGCAAATTTTCACGCTGCAAATTCGTAAATGTTGAATACATTTTAACTCCACCAATTTTTACCGTAAAATGTTTCAAGCCATCAAATTTGCTTCGTAGTGGAATTTAGTGGAATTAATGTGAAGTATGATTGGGCCTTGAAATACATTTCAAGCAAAGACATTTTAAGGAGCATTCACTGTGTGTGTAACTTCAAATAGGAATTTGTAACTGTAATAAGACAGCTATAAACAGTGATCCAAAACTATGTCTTGATTTGATCTCTAGGAATGAGGGACTGATACAACTCTACCCGCGCTACTTACAGACTTGTCACTGTCATCAGGGAGGTGGACCTGATTATTGCCCCGCCCAACCACTTTACTGAAGAACCCGCCAAACCAGCCTCGACCACCGCCCTACAACAAAACAACAGTAAATGTTAGGATTTAGTTTCGATATTGATCAGAATTTGGTCAATACTCTGATTACATTGGTATTTATGCGTGTGACTCATACTTCAACAGGATAGATATCGCATGACTGTTGAAAGTACTTTATAAAACCCATCAGGTGTAAAAGTCTGTAGGATCATACAGCATTGAACCATCAACACCACGTAGTAATGGCCAATTTTAGAACAATGTGAACAAGTCCCATTGAACAAAGCCACAGATGTATCTGCTGGGGTTAGGGCAAACTCTGGGTCCGAAGACTGAGTTTAGGGACAAACATTGCGGCGGTAGAGTTGCTATCATCAAGATGAATCAAATCCCTTTTGGGAACTTTGGCATACATCAGGGACCGGCTGAATTAGGGAAATAAAATCCAAATCCAGTTTCAAATTAATCACAATAAATAATTTACAAGGAAAAAAAATCCTCTGCGTGTGATCTCCGTTTGCTATTTCCAAGGTTTGAAACATTGCTAATGTTGCTAGCATTGTGACTTTGAGCCTGATCCCTGGCTACAGGGCATAAACAGTTTTATGGCTTCTGACTAGAGCCTCTTGACAAAAGATTTTGACAAAATGGGGAACCGCCAACATAGGGCTGGAGAGCTCAGTTGGTAGAGCACCGGAACAGTAATCCGGAGGTCGCAGATTCAAACCCCACTCCAGTCAATTTCTTTGTTCAACTTTAGAACAAATATTAGATTTTCCCCTTCACAGACGTACAAACGCTGTATACTCAGTGTGTAACCTCCCAGTGAAAGTTGGAAAAACACTAGGGTGGGACTCGAAACCACAACCTCCTGCTTTCGACGTCTCACCACTCGACCACAGAGCTTGCGGGATCAGTTGGCTGGTTCGAGTGATTTTTTTTTCCAATTTTCACTCGGGAGGTAACACACTGAGTAAACAGTTTTATACTTCAGTGAAGGGCAAAACCTACTTTTGATTTACATCACCCCAATGCAAAAATTCCATCTTATGAACTTTAAAATTATTACAAGGAAGAGCATGGAGAACAGTCACCTGTTTGGCTTTGGGTTTTTCCTTTGGCTTTTCCTTGGCCTCTGGTTTGGCTCTGGTTTGTCTCCTCCCTCTGCGGCTGCTTGGTAGAGTCCGCTGAATAGTTACGGGTCCTTCCACCTGGGGTAGCCGGGGGCGTCAGGGTGTCGGCGGGGGAGGGTGGGTTGCCTGCCTGCGTGGCACCGTACTGGCTGAATGAACCCTATGTGTTGGAAAGGATTGAAAACGGATGAAGTAAGGCATTACAAGCCACATTTTTTTTTTATAAAGGGATGGAAATAACTTGGTAAGTTTGGATGGAGAACAATTACCATAGAGTACCGAAGTGTGACGTTTAGAACCAGAAAGTGTAGTGCAAACGAATGGAATACTCGCGCGTGTTGGTTCACCGGCTGAATCACGCGCTAATGTCTTTTACACACACATTGTGCGCGTGATGTATTCACTTCGGTACTCTATAGATAAGCTAGTTTGGAATTCCAGCTGTGCATGCGAACACCGAGATTTGGGGATAAATTTGGCAGTAAAATGTGCAAAAGTATATAAATTGGCATTTACTCCTGATACCAGTTACATCCATATCTGGAGATTAACAGAGACATGATGCAGGATTCTGATATGTTTTTAATTTTTGTTCAGGTATTAAAAGCATTAGCCATTGTGGTTTTGGCGCAGTTGTACGGAGGCGTAAGGTTCAGAATAGATCAAGCAATGGTTGCTGGTCAAGCTTCCTTATTATATCATGCCACTCTGATACAAACTGCCTGTACTGACCGCACCACAATTTATCAGATAACCTGCCAAAGTTGTTTGGCAACAAATAACTTTCAAGTAAACTGATAGAGAAACAAGTTGATACCCCTAGACCCTTTTGGCTAGGAACCATCCTCAATCCTGCAAAATCCTCCAATTCCCACCATGTACAAATTGCATTCAGCCTCAATCCTCCATCCAAAATCATCTGTTATTTCTTGAATTTGTTAGTTGAGGGTGACCGTTGCCTCAAACCTTATACTCCGACAATCACTGCTAATGTGTTGAGGCAGTGCCGATGATGTTCAGAAGCAGTGCCGAAGATATCGAGCATAATGCAGGGCTCGATTATGCGTGACTGAACATAAACGATGCTGGATACAGCCTACGAACTCAACACAATGCATTCTCCAAAAACACCCCACACTTTTTGCCATTCAGCCTCAATCCTCCAAAATCCTTTAAAAATCCTCCAAAACTGCCTGGCGCATTTTAAAGGATTGAGAGTTAGGGTGAATTTTGACTTGTACTGCACCCATCGGTAAATGACGGAGGCTCAATTTCCTGAATCTCTGAAGTCATTAGTCAAGAACACAGTAATAAAGTCTGTGGTCATATTACCAATCAAAGCAATAAAATTGTCAGACTTACTTACTGCTTACCTCCTAAAAAAAGCCTGAAACAGCCCATGGGGCGCATTGCCAAGACTGCTCCAGAATCTAACCTTCCTAGTGGGAAGTCAATTTGCTGCAGAAGTGTGACGTCACTCCTCTCCAGGTCAGGTCAGTTTCACTTCCTCAAAAATGATTCACGCGCATTCCGTAACCTCAAGTTGCACGTGCATTTAACACACGCACAATCACGCCCACATGCACTTTGATACAAACTGCCTGTACTGACCGCACCACAATTTATCCGATTACCTGCCAAAGTTGCCCATAGTATTTAAGGAACCAAATAACTTTCGAGTAAACTGATAGAGAAAACGACTACATAACACTCGAGGACAAGGCATTGCATTTCCCTTTGTCCCTGTGATATAACACTCTCCCATAGTTTATGCGGTACCCACTGCTATGTACATCAGATTCGAACCGGCCAACCGATCCCGTTAGCTCGGTGGTCGAGTGGTAAGACATCTGCACTAGAAAGCAGGAGGTCGTGGGTTCGAGTCCCACCCGAGTGATTTTTTCCAACTTTCACTGGGGAGGTAACACATTGGGTATACAGTGTTTAAAACGTCGGTGAAGGGCAAAACCTAATTTGATTTATATCACCCCGGCGCAAAAATTCCATCTTATAACTCTCCCATAGACTAAGCACAAAAACGCACAATCGAGGACCGACTGGCAGGGCACTGCCTGCGACACCCAGAGCTGCCCGCTAGCAAGGTCATCATCTGGGATCCAACCCACGGGAGGATGAATCTTGGGCGCCCGTACAAAACCATGGTGAAGACCCTGATGGAGGACAGTGGCGCCGCGACTGCAGATGAACTTGGGACACTGATGATGGAACAGGATGTGTGGCGTGTCCATCACTGTGCCCGACACAACTAGTGCAAGCTGCAGTCGACCAATGATGATGATGATGAAGAAAGAACCAGTTCTGTTTCCCCACAGCTTTGACCCTGGTATTAGAATGCTCCGTGTATCGCTTCTGAAAAGCTACGTGGAACTAAACAGTTCCTCTCACAGCACACAGTAACACACTATTACACAAGACCGAAACATAATTTCTAGCTCCTCCTTAGAACAAAGTTGCAAAAGTGTATATTTTTATAATTTATTGAAGACATGCATCAGCATCAGATAATGCGAGTGGCTATAGCAACATCTAGTATTTTACTTCCTTAAAGTCACAATGTTTCAAATCACTCAATTCAACAAATATTTATATACACGGACGTTTTTGTCATTAAATGTTCAAGTTTCATTCCCGCATGAAGGAGTGGTGCTCAGTGGTTAGGGTTTGTGACTGAGGGTCAGGGGTTCAAATCCAGCTGCTGGTTATTATGTTGTGTCCATCCAGGAGTGAAAATGGGTGCTGGCTTTAGCCGGAGAGTGACCTGTGATGGAAAAGCATGCCGTCCAGGGGGAATAGAAATATTCTCAGTGTTTCATGCTTCTGAAACCATCTGATGGACCATGTTGGCTCGGGACCGCCTTTAATTCATTTTCTTTTGTTTACTTCTTTCCTTCATGAAATCGTGGATTTACAGATTGTAAAGATCAATGTTTTTAATGAAATCATATCAATTGATTTAACAATAATCTTAAACACTACTTTCGTAGTAGATAGGTGAAGTTTGGTGTTTTCTTAATTGTGGTAGTGCTATTGGTTGAAAATTCACCCGTGCATCTGGTGCGTTTTGGTTTGCAGTGGTGTTAGACCGACAGCAGAAGGTGGATACTATCGCCTGCCGAAATCTGTCGTACTTGAGGCCATACAGGACAGGGTTGATTGCAGAGTTGATCAGGGATAAGATTAGCGCACACTGTAGGGCAATGCCAAATGGTTGATTTGATGTGTCTTTGAAAATGACCATGGACACCAAATAGAGGCCTTTCTCTGGCAGAATGAGCGCCAGGAACGCGATGGTGACCAGCAGCAGGGTGTGGGTGAGCTTCTGCATGGCACGATGCAGCTCATTGGGGTAGCAACCCTGCATGCCCAGATTCTGCCTTCTCTGAGCGCTCTGCTTCAGATCCTTCAGGATCTGAACGTACATCCAGATCATGGCGGCAGCCGGTGCAGCAAACAGCAGTAGGGCTCTAAGGCTTGAGAAAATCAATGCGTGAAGGTACGCATTGTGGACAGGGCCACTTGGGGCAACTGGGAGTGAACAGGACACCGTGTAGTTAAGCGTCTGTATTTGCGCAAGAAACCAAATGGACTGCACAGCTTCCAAGAGGAGAGGCATGAACCAAATGAGCAGAATCAGAAGGATGACTTTTCTCCTGGTAAAGAAACTGCGATGTCGAAGCGCGTGAACAATGCCGATGTATCTCTCAAAGGTGACCACTAAGAGACTAAGTACTGATTGCTCTGGTGAGGATTTCTTCAAGCAAGCATAGGCTGCCGCTAAACGAGGCCACAGAGTATCTTGTGTGCATGTGTTATACAAAAAGAAAAACTGTGAATCTATAATGCCGGTGATGCACACCAGACTGTCAGCTATGGCCAGATTGAGGAGGAAATAGTGGGTGAGGCTGTGCAGAGACTTGCTCCTGACGATTGCCACAGCTACAAGGAGATTGCCGATCAGTCCCACAATGCCCAGGGAAATTTCAACCCCGATCAGAATTGAGTTTGGCTCGAAGAAGTCCGGCATCCGTTGGGTTGGTGCTGGTGTTGAAAGTAGAGCCATATCTGTTTCTACTTTGTACTGTTGTCTACCTCTGTCTACTACAAAGATCACTTTACTCCTTCAGTCTTCGAGAAATCAGCACGTTCATGAGAAGAACAAATGACATATAAGCGTTCACAGTGCAGCAACTACTTTCTGCTGAAATTTGTATGCCGATGTCGACAATCCGGGTCATGAGCAGAAACACTGAGTGGAAAACGTCATAGCTTAATCATGTTGTTCGAGGGGTAAACAAGCCTGGCAGTTTGATTTATAGGATTGGTAATTAAAACCAAATTTATAACTGTTCTTCAATAGTAAATTGCTAACATTGCCTGTCATCTACTGATGGCAGCAATTAAATAGTCACAAGCAAATATAAAAGCCTCCTGCACTCAGACCATAACCAGCACTTGATGCTTCAGTATTGGCAATTTTGGCAAGCAATAAGTCAATATGTTCCAAGGCAAAGATAATACTTTACTTTGACTTAACTACACCCATCAATAAATGTTGGGAGCTCATTATCCCCAATCCCCCAAGTCCTTAATCAAGAAAGCAGTAATAAGTCTGTGGTCTTATTACCAATCAAATCAATCAAAATGTCAGGCTTTTTAACTGTTTTTCTCCTAGAAAAGCCTGAATCAGTGGGGAGAATTGCAGAGATGGCTCCAGAATTGTATGGATAGCTGTTGGCACACGCTGAACACTTTACATGTACATCTCATGCACTATCTCAATAAAACATTGTATATGATTCTTAACAACTCCTGAATCTGGCTTATATGCACATTTGAACTGTTTGAAAATAAAACCATTTCTATTTCCCCAACAGGTTCGACTCTGATATTTGAATGCTCCATGGGCCACTTTCAAAAGCTTTCTCACACCTGACAATTAAAACACTACAGCACAGTGGTGCAAATTTTCTTGGGTTTTTTTCCGAGAACGTAGTTGCAAGAGGGTAATTTTTATTGCTTACATGTCAGATTAGGTTTTGCCCTTCACCAACGTTTGAACACTGTACACTCAGTGTGTTACCTCCTGAATGAAAGTTGGAAAAAATCACTCGGGTGGGACTCGAACCCACGACCTCCTGC